GTTTTATATTTCTTTTATAAAATTTTTCGAGCGAAAAGAAAATTTTGCCAGTAAGCCGTGTCTCTGTCCTCTGATATAAACACGGTCGTCAGCCAATCAGAGCGCGCGTTATATATCAAAAATTTTATAAAGAAGTACAATATTATATAACGCGCACATTTATTGGTTGAAACTAATTTCCCCGGCAGACAGCTCCTGGACATTTTGGAAGCGGGTTTCCTGTGTTAGCTATATAGGAGATCCACCGACCTTCCAATTCAAAGTATGGTATTAAATAAAATCGAATAGAACACTGTATAAAGACACATACATTCATAAAATTAAGTATTAAAATTTAATAAGTTATTTACAAAAGTAAGATTATTGAATAATTTGGAGGAAAAAAAAGCACTTCTAAGATTAAATGTTGGCAAAAACGAGTCCATTTAAGTTTAGTTTTACATGTGTAATGCTTCTTAGCACCAATGCACTGCTCGCTAGTTGACTAAGATGAAGTGCGCAGAGTAACACTATCTTGAAGCTGACATCAGTAATCATCAGTAATTGGTCGTTTTTCAGTCATTTTGGTTCAAAACATGTAAATATATATTAAAGGGACATGGTCCACCAGCATTCAATGTGGTCGTGTTTTAGATTTTTTTAAATATATGGAAAATGAGGTGACTTCGAATATCCATTCGCAAGAGGGAGGGACGTTGTTATGGAAATGCCGTGTACCTTGCTTGTATTAGTCTTCAGGTTTTAAAACCCATCCTTTATCGACAAAAAAGTTGTACATTTTTCTCGTCTTGTTGACGTCGATTCTTATAAGCGATCTGGCCTGAGCAAGACGTAGTTCGCCGTACTTTTCGTTCTCTTTAATGAAGGTGGTCTTGTAATTAAGATAGTCTTGTGGTAGGAGGCGTATACTGCTGCACAACTATGATTCACAATAAAGAGACGAGAGATTGAATAAGAAGTGAATATGACATAGCAGTAGAAATGGAAAAGATAACGATGATGATGATGGTGAGAATGTTGGTGTCGGTAGTGGTGGAGGTGTTGGTGGTGGTGATCATGATGGTCGTGGTAATGGTTGTGGTGGTAGTTGTGGCAGTAGTGTTGCAGGCGGTGGTAGTGATGCTGATAATGATAATGGTGGTCGTGGTCGTGGTAGTGATGATCGT